ATAGCTCACCTGGTAGAGTGGGCACTAACCAAATCTAACTGAATCCGACCTGTTGCCTTTTTTCTACATGTAATCCCCCATGCTCTCTCCTTTCCAAGTCCATCTGTCCTGTCTCTATAATAAAGGCTAAAGGCCAAAAAATACACGGGCTGCTGTAGCCAGATCGAGATTATTTTCCACTCTTACTAAACCAAGGACAGTGGAGAAAGCACACACGCTCTCATTCACGCGTTGGACATATTGTCTGTAGCTGTCACACGACAAAGCATACAAATTGCACAGAAAGGGACATTGGGCCATTGAATAGGTAAAGAGCAGCCGAGTGAAAGGAGAAGTGGAGTGCATTGTTTGTGGTTCATGCAACTGAAAATAGAAACACTTACTCATTCTCAAATTGGCCCATGTCCAGTGCATGTTCTTTGGATGGGAATACACATTAATAATCTGTGTTTATGCAGAAAGAACTAGCTTGAATGCACCTGAATACATCAGAGACAGGAGTCTTTTGCTGCGAGCCAGTGAGCTGACCTTTAGTATAGAGCGAGTTGTGAGACAGCCTTTCACCTGTGTGAACATGTAAGCCTAGCACACTCTACTGGTGCACCAAGAGACCAAAAACAATACCAGAATAAGGTTTATTTATCAAATGCTTGGTTTCTGGCCTTTTTCTGCAAAACCAGTCGATTCAGAACACCGTGGATTATATTTATGTTCGAGTGTGTTGAAAGACAGCTGTTGTAAAACCTATTAAAGTATTGACTCAGAAGTAACAGAGGTAGGAAGTGTTTTGGAAATTCAACAATCAGTTACCTTCTGGTAAGAAATGAACAGATGTAGAAGAATTGAACTGAATTAATCTATTGAAGCTGGAAGGACAACCTGCACTAACATGAAGTACAAGAGCACAAGTCATGTATACAGAGAAACAGGAAACTAAGGGGGACAGGCAAGTAAGTCATTGACATTAAAGCTTACCAAATGGGCAAAAAAGGGACATAAGAAATGTTAAATATAACAGGTAACATCCGTATGACAATTTGCCTGTCTATGGTCACAGTGGCACCCTTCTGTCCGTCGAATACTAGAGAACAGAAAAGCACCAGACATGTGTAATAAAGTTGTGAACAAGCCTCGGGGTCGCAGCCATAGTGAGCCAGAACTGAATGACACTTAAATGATACATTTCCACAATAGGAAGAAGGCTGTGATGCCATTCCACCAAAAGCAACCACCACAGTGCCATGGTGACCATCTCGGTTGTCACAGCAACCGTTGTTCCATTTGGCGATTGTGTGCTGGTGTTCGTAAAAATCCAACAGATTAGCCGTTGGGTAACTGGTAAGATCATCATTAGGATGATTGCTCCTCAGAAGAGGCCTCAGGACAGCACAGTGGCATCAACATGTACTCCCAGCAATATTGCACTGCTGTTGAGTCCAGGTTGGGAGCAATCAAGCAGCTCCCCCTCAAGAAGATGCTTCCTGCCACTCTGCAGATGCTTTAATAACCTCCACAGTAACGTCATTAGCAAATTAGCATCTATTGTTTCCTCGGGGCTTCTGTGTGCAATGGAGCCGGATTCCATCCTCTGCGAGAGCCTTGTTGTTTGGGGAACAGTGCCAGCGAAGGTGAAATGTTAAGAGAAAAACAAGGGGACGAAAATAACTGTTGCGCTCCAGCCATGAATGCCATACCAATTATGGAATAACAGAAAGGGGGAGAGGGGGGGAAACGGTGGCCGTTGTTTGTCTGGATAGTTCTTGAGGTGGAAATGACATGCATGCTTTGTCTTGGGGAAGTCAATTTCGGAATTCTACCTCCGGAGTTGAGGAGCTTTTGTGGTGACTTGTCATAAGAGGAGTGGAGCAAAACATCTGTGGGGGGAAAATGACTTTGTTGGAGTGCTAGAGAGGGGAAAGAATGGAATAGGAAAGACAGAGAAAAATAAGAGGGAGCCGAAGAGAGACACCAGCCAGCATCCTGTTGTTACGGAGAGAGAAAAGGAGGGTACCGGATTGATCAGCCATGTGCGAATGGAATACCGTACCGATAAATAGGAGCGACAAAACCTTCCAGGGTGTGAAAAATGGAGAGAGCTTCAATTGTACACTTCCTCTCATTAGTTTGGGTAATGTGCGACGTGAAGTCCCATTCAGACACGGATTCAAGTTGTGCTGCAGAACAAAAAAAAGTATCTCACCCTCAGAGGTTGCGCTAGACTTTTTCGCAGCCCGTCATTTTGACGGACAGGATCGTAACATTTCCGTCAAAATCCATTATTACCCATCCGACTGTACACAACTGGGGGGCGGAAGAGCACGCTCGTGAACTG